AGCAGACGCTCCGGTCTTTCTCTCTCCGACCCTCGCAGTGAGCAGACGCTCCGGTCTCTCTCTCTCGACCCTCGCAGTGAGCAGACGCTCCGGTCTCTCTCTCCCCGACCCTCGCAGTGAGCAGACGCTCCGGTCTTTCTCTCTCCGACCCTCGCAGTGAGCAGACGCTCCGGTCTCTCTCTCCCCGACCCTCGCAGTGAGCAGACGCTCCGGTCTTTCTCTCTCCGACCCTCGCAGTGAGCAGACACTCCGGTCTCTCTCTCCCCGACCCTCGCAGTGAGCAGACGCTCCGGTCTTTCTCTCTCCGACCCTCGCAGTGAGCAGATGCTCCGGTCTCTCTCTCCCCGACCCTCGCAGTGAGCAGACGCTCCGATCTCTCTCTCTACGACCCTCGCAGTGAGCAGACGCTCCGGTCTCTCTCTCTCTCTGACCCTCGCATTGAGCAGACGCTCCGGTCTCTCTCTCTCTGAACTTTGCAGTGAGCAGAAGCTCCGGTCTCTCTCTCTCCGACCCTCGCAGTGAGTTGACGTTCCGGTCTCTCTCTCTCTGACCCTCGTAGCGAGCAGACGCTCCGGTCTCTCTCTCTCTGACCCTCGCAGTGAGCAGATGCCCTGGTCTCTCTCTCTCTGACCCTCGCAGTGAGCAGATGCTCCGGTCTCTCTCTCTCTCTGACCCTCGCAGTGAGTAGACGTTCCGGTCTCTCTCTCTCTCTCTCTGACCCTCGCAGTGAGCAGACGTTCCGGTCTCTCTCTTTCCGACCCTCGCAGTGAGCAGATGCTCCGGTCTCTCTCTCTCTGAACTTTGCAGTGAGCAGAGGCTCCGGTCTCTCTCTCTCCGACCCTCGCAGTGAGCAGATGCTCCGGTCTCTCTCTCTCTGACCCTCGCATTGAGCAGACGCTCCGGTCTCTCTCTCCCCGACCCTCGCAGTGAGCAGATGCTCCGGTCTCTCTCTCTCTGAACTTTGCAGTGAGCAGACGCTCCGGTCTCTCTCTCTCCGACCCTCGCAGTGAGCAGATGCTCCGGTCTCTCTCTCTCTGAACTTTGCAGTGAGCAGACGCTCCGGTCTCTCTCTCTCCGACCCTCGCAGTGAGCAGATGCTCCGGTCTCTCTGTCTCTGACCCTCGCAGTGAGCAGACGCTCCGGTCTCTCTCTCTCTCTGACCCTCGCAGTGAGTTGACGTTCCGGTCTCTCTCTCTCTGACCCTCGCAGTGAGCAGATGCCCTGGTCTCTCTCTCTCTCTGACCCTCGCAGTGAGCAGATGCTCCGGTCTCTCTCTCTCTCTGACCCTCGCAGTGAGCAGACGCTCCGGTCTCTCTCTCTCTCTCTCTGACCCTCGCAGTGAGTTGACGTTCCGGTCTCTCTCTCTCTGACCCTCGCAGTGAGCAGATGCTCCGGTCTCTCTCTCTCTGACCCTCGCAGTGAGCAGACGCTCCGGTCTCTGTCTCTGACCCTCGCAGTGAGCAGATGCTCCGGTCTCTCTCTCTCTGACCCTCGCAGTGAGCAGATGCTCCGGTCTCTCTCTCTCCGACCCTCGCCGTGAGCAGACGCTCCGGTCTCTCTCTCTCCGACCCTCGCCGTGAGCAGACGCTCCGGTCTCTCTCTCTCTGACCCTCGCCGTGAGCAGACGCTCCGGTCTCTCTCTCTCTGACCCTCGCCGCGAGTAGACGCTCCGGTCTGTCTCTCAGGAAAAATAATACAAATAATAAAATAAACTTCGCTAGCCAAGCCGCCGGCCGCATCAAGCCGTTCAAACAGGGAACATACCGGGGTGCTCCGGACTCCGAGCGTTACTGCCGCATCTTCGCAGCACGCGCATCCCTCTCTTGCCAATTATGCGGAGCCCCCCCCCACCCGGCCTTAGCATGCTTAGTCAGCTCTCCACCATCTCAAACACCTCACTCACTTCCTCTCCACCATGCAACGCCTCAGACTTTAACCGTCTATCACCCCGCAGGGAGGCAGGATGGTGTGCAACAATTTCAATGACCTAGGCTGCTCTTTTTCTAGCTGCCGCCTCATGCAAATCTGCTCTTTCTGCGGCGGCGCTCATGCCAGGAGCACCTGCCCTCACAACCCAACTACATCAGCAGATTGACTAGCACGGCACCTCAGCACACCCGTCAAGATAAGCAGCTTAGCTACCGCCTCAGCGAATCATCCAGATAGTCTGTTTACTTTCTCACCAATGGCTTCACCCATGGTTCCCACCCAGGCATAGCAATACTGCCCGACACATCTCACATCTGCCACAACCTTCAGTCCGCTTTAACAGAACCTCACACCGTCGACACCTTACTAGCCAAAGAAGTCAAAGAAGGGTTCATGATAGGTCCATTCGATAGTCCCCCCTTTCCAGTGTTCCGCATCAGTCCAATAGGCATAGCTACTAGGAAATACTCCGGGAAAAAGAGGCTCATAATAGACCTGTCTCTCCACACGGCTCAGCCATCCCGAGCATTAACAGCGTCATTCCAAGCCCAGACTTTTCAATGCAATATGCAAACATCGACCACGCCATCACCCTCATCCGCTTAGCAGGCCGCGGAGCATGGCTCTCTAAGGCAGACATCACCAGTGCATTCAAGATCTTGCCTATTCACCCAGATTTCTGGCGTTTCTTCGGAGTGTACTGGATGGGAGCCTACTACTTCTCAGTACGCAGAAGCAGTCCCAAAATCTTCGATTCCCTTTCAGAAGCTCTGTGCTGGATCTTGACAAATAACCACAGACTCCCCTACGTGCTCCATCTCCTTGACGACTTCTCATCGTCACTCCACCATCCTCACCCCCCTGTCACGGGCTGAGCACACTCATACAAACATTTTCAGACCTTGGCATTCCTCTGTCTGAGGAGAAAACCTCAGGGCCTACAACCTCCATTGAGTTTCTAGGCATCACCCTGGACTTAATGTCTTTCCGGGCTTCTCTATCCTCAGAGAAAGTACAGCGCATCACGAAATGCAGCTGTTAGCCCTCCACGGCAAACGACTCTCATATTCACACTCCGGTATAAAACGGATCAGCTGGGAATTTCTTTCCCCATCCACATCTTCCGCCTGAACTCGCATCCCAGCCATACGAGCCACTAACCAAATACCTCAGCGCAAGGTACGATGCATACGCAACGCCTCAACACCGACTCTTTCTCACCGAAACAGGGAAAACGGCCACACGTTTCTGGTTCCAGAAACACTTCCACAACGCGTTGCTTATTTTGGGGATATGCTCAGAATATTATTCGAGCCATTCCTTCCGCATTGGCGCAGCGTCCACAGCAGCTAGACCGGGCATCTCTTATCTCGTCATCCCAAGCGTATCACGCTTACATCTGCAACAATCTCAATGATCTCAGACACGCACACGTTTAAATCAGCTGCTTTAATCCGACTCTTTTGGGGGCCCGTAATCAGCCCACGCAGATCATGCCGGAGACGGAACCCCCACTCTGAGTCTCCCACTGCACGGACCACAGCTCGTCCTCCCAGATCATCTCTTCACCCCCCTCATATCAGTCACATGTTACTTCAATAAACTTACAAACATCACACTGTTGTGGCGTGGTTCCTGCTAGTGAAATGAGGTTAAATTGTTAACATAGGTTCAGGAGCATGGCCACGCTTAAAACTCCGCCTCGAACCACGGCCACCCCTATTTATATCCGGCAAAACTTCCGGCCACTGCTTGTCTCCATCCTTTCAACCCACCCTCCCTCTCCCTTCTACCCATACAGTTCCCCTTCCGACTCACACTGAGCGATACATCCATCCATCCCTTCTTCCCTCCCTCAACATCCCTACAGCCCCCCATCCCTCCATCCCTCATCCCAACATCCCTCATCCCTCATCCCAACATCCCTTCATCCCTTCATCCCTCATCCCAACATCCCTCATCCCTCATCCCAACATCCCTTCATCCCTTCATCCCAACATTCCTCATCCCTACATCCCTCATCCCAACATCCCTCATCCCTCATCCCCACATCCCTACATCCCTTCATCCCTCATCCCCACATCCCTCATCCCAACATCCCTACATCCCTTCATCCCAACATCCCTCATCCCCACATCCCTCATCCCTTCATCCCTCATCCCCACATCCCTCATCCCAACATCCCTCATCCCTACATCCCTCATCCCTCATCCCTACATCCCTTCATCCCTCATCCCCACATCCCTCATCCCTACATCCCTTCATCCCTCATCCCCACATCCCTCATCCCAACATCCCAACATCCCTACATCCCTCATCCATACATCCCAACATCCTCTGCCCGTCAACATTTATATTTAAACAGTGCATATTTATATACTGTATATACTAACATTTTAATCCCAGGTATTGTCTGGGGGCCCGTAATCAGCCCACGCAGATCATGCCGGAGACGGAACCCCCACTCTGAGTCTCCCACTGCACGGACCACAGCTCGTCCTCCCAGATCATCTCTTCACCCCCCTCATATCAGTCACATGTTACTTCAATAAACTTACAAACATCACACTGTTGTGGCGTGGTTCCTGCTAGTGAAAATGGCTTCAGAGTGAAAATGGTTTTCAGAGGCTCATGAAACACACGCACACACACATACTTTATCAGGAGCATTTGAATACCCATTTTAGTCACATTCTATCAGTTTAGCAGTTTATCTCAGTTAACACTGTTTTATATCTCAAAATCTTCAAAATGTGTACGAAACATACAATGACAAAAGCCTGTCCACACATGACCAAACAACACTACTGTTACTTACAGAAAGACAACATGTCTTACCCATGATAATTAGATTCTTCATTTTTTATACTGTTGGCTTTGAAAAGAGTTTCTGAGCCAAACAGGATTGAAGGGATTATTGAAGGGAATTTTGCCTGTTTGAAGAGTTTTTAATCCTCTACTCCAAGTTTATATATCCATGAGTCATCAAAAATGAAGCTGCAGGTTTTTCATTTTTTCCGCTTCTACTTCTAAGAACACACACACACCAACAGACGCTTCAGGATGCCTACCTTTCTTATGCGTCCGCTGCGTGTGCCAGTGAACGCCACAGTGTGTCCCCGGTAGTCGTAGGCCGTCACAGAGGTCATGCCTTCGTCCTTGTCCACGTACAGAGGGATGCCCTCGATGGCGGTGGTGCCCCCTAGAGGCTGGTTGAAGTCCTGGCCGCAGAAGTTGTCGTCAATCTGCAGTGGCTGCAGTGTTTGGGGGGGAAAGAAGAAGAAAATAAGCCATTAACTCAACCATTAACACTTTTTGAATCCCTTTTCTCGTTAAACTAACATTAGTTCTTAAAGAAGGAGGAGGCTTTCGATCTCCCCGGCACTTAGTAGACGTTTTATGATGCTGGATTTGAGCCAAGTCGCTGCAGATTTACTGAGAAATGGTGTGAAATTAATGGGCGTCGCTGGAAAATTAACTTCCCTAACTCCCTTTATGAAAAAACTTTCCTGGAAAGTGATAAAAAAGGGGAGAAAGTGATTTTTATTTTATAAAGGTCAAAAAGAAAAACATAACCGGTATACAGCTGCTTTGATTGATACCTTCCCCTCCATTACAAGCTTTGATTATTTCATCGTACATGCTGTCAACCCAAGCAATTACACATCCCAGCACGGCCTGAATGGATGAACAGTTGCTTGCTAATGTTTTAAATATTGATTTTCTTTGTATACAGCTTTGGCAATGTCGTTTCTAATAAGAGACAAGCCAATACAGGGAGTAAATCAAATGGAGCTGAGTAAACATGGAGGGGAGGGGGATCACATGAGCGGGACACTGGAGGGGATGACAGAGACATGACAGGAAGTAAATTATAGGTCAGATTAGCATAACCAAAGTGCCTCATGCAGGCACATCGCTAGGCTGATATGTTGATATGTCACGCTTGATTTATGAACGTGTGTGTGTGGCAAGTCATTCAACTCTGGTGATAGCTGTGTTTGCATCAGGAGGTGTGTAACGTGGACATGTGTAACAGAGATAATCGCCTTCATATAAATTACTGTGGAGACTCACACGTGCACAGTACACAAATACTGAGATGCACACAACTTTAGGTCTACACAACTCAGAAAAGTGATAGAACAGCTGCAGAGTGATGTAGTTAATAGACACAATATGTATATTTGAAGAATGCGTTTTCAAATTTAGAGTTTTGAATCAGATTTTTCTTTCATTGTCTCATTGTGGGCAAATCAAATCAATAGGCATTGCTTTAAGAGCCGTCTCTTTTGAAATAAGAAAAGGGGCTCTAACATTACTCTAAAGATTAAAGGGGCCCTATTATGCTCATTGCCGGTTCATATTTGTATGTAGTGTCTCTACTGGGACATGTCTCCGTGCTTTAATGTTCAAAAAGCTCTTTATTTTCTCATACTGCCTGTGCTGCAGCACCTCTTTTCACCCTCTGTCTGAAACCAGAGCCTGGTCTGCTCTGATTGGTTAGCTGGTCAAATGCTTAGAGTTGTCCCGCGCCTTAGCCTGCTACGTACAAATTGGACTGCTTGCCAATCGAAGGGTTCGATTCAACACACTACAGGATAGTGCTCTGATGATATCACCTGTAAATATGTCTAGTCCCTACAGCGTCAATCATGAGGTCTATCTGCATTGCACTTGTCTTTATTGCTACAACCCTCCTCCTTAGCAAAACCATGTTTTTAATTCACATGTACAAAATGGGAATTCAACTTTAGAGAACTCGCTTGCAGACACAGGAAGATTACAAAAGCCTTCCAGGATACACAAATGAACATGGCGGCTTTTTGTTTGTTTGTTTGTTAAAAAACGTATCGTCTGCAAAGAGACTAATCGATCACATTTTCTCTTTTTAAAATCAAATGTCAGACAGTGTGTGTTTTTTCTTTCAGATTGGAATAAAAAGTTTGGGGGAAATTGCATTGTTTACAAGACTTTTTCAAAGGCAGACAGAAACTCAAATGAACAAAGACAAAGTAAGTATTTGTCTGATTGTCAGCAACACTTTTGGAAGTTTTTGGCGAGTGGATTGAGTGGGAGAATTGAGGACAAAGGAGAACAAAACAAGAGCGAGTCAACAAAAGGAAGGCCAGTGAAGTGATGCAGAGGAGATGCAGGCAGATATGAATCAAATGTAGTGAGGGAGAGCAGGAAGAGGAGAGATGGCCATGGCTCAGTGAGAGTATGACCCTTGGGTCCCTGCCATACACTTTCCCCTCGTTTCCTCTGATAAAGAAGGAGCAGAACCAGACGCCCCTTCAATTCATTCACTCATTTCCTGTCTTTCTCTTTATCTATGTTCCCTCCATCCCAGCCTCTACTGCTTGTAATCTTCAGTCTTCACTTGTATCCAAATATTTATCCGCTCTTATTTTCTTCCAAAGTTCATGGGTTCATAGGAACTGGCCAATGGGAAGTCCTGTCCATCCCAAAGTGTAAGTATGTCCCCCCCCCCCCCATTATCTAGGAAGGAAATCCTCAATTTGCATGCCACATGTTTGTTGTCATAAATAACTGAAGGCTGCTGCACATGTTAAATAAATAATTGGGAAACAAGCAGACACTGTGGAATGATGGTCAAATGCTATGCTACTGAACATTAGCACGTCTGTATCAAAACCACTAGTATGTTGCACCAATCAAATGCAAGCTTGTGTTCAAATTAAACATTTTAAGCAACATGACCAGATCAAAAGTACTTTAGGTAATAATTACATCATTCAGCTTTGTTTCATTTATGCCGGCGCCTCGTACTTGTAAACTAATCTGCATTCCCAGTGTCTGTGGAGCTCGCCATCTCCGCAGCGGCGTTGCCGGCATGCTGAGGACGCTAATGGTTTGTTATGTTTAGAGTTTGGGCTTTTTTGTTTCTTTATTTTCCAGACTTTTTGAAAGATAATCCACAAAACTACAAATGTAGGTGATCATTTGACTTGTGTTGTCTATTCAAGTCTGTAGATTTCTACTATAATGATTTAACATTCAGTGTTTCTGAACAACACAAATATTGTTAATGATGTACTTTATCCCACATTACTCAAATGAATACTGGGTACATCTCAGGTTGGTTATTACAATACTAAACAAAATACTTTTGATTGATTTTAACAATCAATACATTTTCATTTAACAAAAGAAGATAAAGTTGACTAAGTCTCACATAAATAAAGTATTAATAGCCCATCATAAAATATATTAAAGCAATGTGTCATATTAGCATGATTTGATATACTTTATTAATCCCCGTGGGGAAATTGTTTCTCTGCAATTGACCCATCCTAGTGTTAGGAGCAGTGGGCTGCCATTTTGAACAGCGCCCGGGGACGAACACCGCTCGGGGACGCAAGGTCTGATTGAAGTGTTTAAATGTACTTGAAACCTCATCAACAGAACACAGACAGTTTAAACATCTACCACCCAACTTAATGTGTTCATAAAGGACAGCACTGTCTTCCATATTTGTTGGACTAATGAATTGGATGAATCATGTTAGGATGACTGATTTGTGACCTGGAGGGATATATAGTGTTAAAATAAATGTGTAAGTTGGTGTAATAATCCTTTCCTGTGTCTCTAACATGAGGTGACCTGCACAAGTCTTTTATTAGAGCTTTCACCTGCTCGCCGTAACTTGTCCCTGTTGGCCTACTACTGCACCTCTGACCGCGCTATTATTATTACAAGCTATAGTCGACGCGTCGACTTCAAAATATCGTCGACGACATATTTCCGCGTCGACACCATAGACTGTATGACGCCACACACACGTGGGTCACCCAAAGCAACAAGCAGTTCGCAATCGCACTTCTAACACAATGGAGACTGAAACGGCTACCAACTCCTCCTCACAGGATTGCGCACGAAGCCCTCAAACGAAAACATCTCGCCCCAGGTCTTCAAAAGCATGGGAATATTTTAAAGTTAGTCCAAAACGCAAAGATATTTATATATTTATATCTCACTGAGACTGCTGCTTGACCGGAAGCAGCAGCTAGCTGTGGTGGCAACCATTAGCAGCTAGCATTTGCTCTCCGATTTAAAATGGAATTATGGATTATAAATTCAATCATTTTTGTATACATAGACGTTAAAAACCTATGGATTAACAGATTCAGCCGCGTTTTTTCTCATTTTAATGCCATTGAACACGTCTTTTGATCAGATTGACAGCTACGGCGGTGAGACGATCTCCCTAGAAGCTCTGTGAAGGTACGTGTTGTGATGACTGTATTTGCTTCCCCTGTCGCAAGTCCGGATCACTCAGTGATGATACTATGTACCTACATAATCTGTGGAGTCTCAGCTTTAATCGGATATATTGTATGTGCAGCTACGATAAGTAATAAGGGTACTTTTATCTTGAGATCTGTGCCAATGTCCGTTAGCATTTTTCGCTCAGGGGTCATTTAGATGCTTCTTATGAGACTTGTGTTTTGTTTTGGTAAACATGGTTTGTATCGTCAGTTAGCTGAGATTATTTCCGTTAATCTGGTATAACACATTAATAGGTTCTTAAATATTAAGATCCCCTGAGACACAGTATCGTGAAACATTTTTTTTTTACATTACGTTTTTTTTACATTACGTTTTTTATGAATTGAACAACAGAAAAATAATCGTTCGATTAGTCGACTAATCGATCAAATAATCGCCCGATTAATCGTTTTCAAAATAATCGTTTCCCCCCAGCACTACTGTACATAGCATTATACACACACACACACATGCACAAACACACACACATGCACAAACACACACGCACACCGTTGTTCTATTTCCAGGGGGTTAGACAAGGACAGAGTCCCCTGTGTTGTCCTTGCAGAAGACCTCTGCTGTACACACACATTAAAATACACACACACACAACACAACACACACACACACACCCCTGCCAAACTCTTGCTGGGTGAATGATGATGGGGTGATGAGGGAAAGAGAGGGGCAAGTGAGATGAAGAGAAAAGGAGAGGAGATGGGGAGAGGGAAAAGACAAAAAGGGAGGGGGGTGAGGGAACAGAGACATAGGGTAAGGCTAAGGGTCAACAGCGCTCTTGTCGCCACTAATGAGCCTCGACCCAGGAAGAGAGCTGGCGAGCGAGGGAGACAGCGTGAACTGGTTTCAGAAGATGTGGCACTGGGAACAGTAACAGGGCACACATCCATCCCAGGAACTGAGATGTTAGTCACCTTCTATGTGGGCTTTATTTGTGTATAAT